AAAATACAAGGAATATGATTCAGGGTCTCAGAATCCGTACCGAGTAAATCAAAAGACATAAATCCATAAATAGGAGTTTGTTAAGAACTCATGATTAAGATCATTCTATATATGACAATCGGTAGACTCAATTAGAATTTCTATGCTATAACGGAAATTATTAGAAATTCATATTGTGTCTGTGTCCTTGTTCCACACAATCTCATTATGCGAAATACACTCATTCAATATCTCACCATATTAACAGTGCGGATAGCACCATTCCATTCTAAATGGGAATGACATGTATTAATAATGTTTTAATTAAAGATTCTGAACTTTAATTAAATTCATTATGAACAATGTTTTTGATTGTTATCCTTAAACACTATCCTCTTGTATATAACACTTATATACTATGTTTAAGGTTACATAAATAATCACAGAATTTTCATTTAATATTAATAAAATATTCATAAATATATATGCACATAAAATGATAAATAAACTCTTTTATTAATTAAATAACAAATATCCTATTACATCTTATGCTTCCAGGATACTATTTCTAACAATTTTCAGGCAGTCTGGCGGGTTGGGCATTCGGGCAAATCGGGCTTGGGCGGAAAAATTTAAAAAACACTCCGGCGGACGGCGGTTGACGGTGCCTACACGGCGGTGGGCTCTGGTGAGGTGCCCAAATTCGGGCTGCTTGAGCCCGAGCCTGAATTTTCACTTTGGTTGGCCTGGCAAATGGACCTGCCCGCCGAGCCCAAAAAATTCGGGTAGCGGGCCCGCTGGCCCAAAGTTCCACCACTATAGTGCCCTTTTGAGCAATCTTCTTGTTATGTTTTGGTATTTTCAAACCTTCGTTTTTATTGTCCTTCGAAGTTGTTATAGTGACGCTTACATGAAATCAGGGATGTTTATTTTATTTTATTTTTTCATTAAATAACAATTTACATCTCTTGTAAGGTTATTAAACCGGTTGATAGCGAGAAATAATTAATTAAGATGGTTTAAATCATCTATACTTGGGCTGGCCTTTTAAGGAAACTAAAAAACAAAATGAGACAAATACGGGTCTTGATTTTTATTTTTTATTATTAATTAATATTTTTTAATTAAATATTATATCTGTCAAAATGATATTATTCAAGAGTAAAAGGTAAAAATTTAGATTTATGCATTTCTAAAGCAAGTTAAGTAATTTTCTCAAACGCAAAAGTAAGTCGTGGCATCATTAAAAAAAAGGATTTTTTTAAAAAGAAAAATTATACTCAAATTAAAAAAAGAAAAAAAATTAAAAATACCATTTAAAGCGGTGAAAAATATTTTATTTATACCATTCCATTAAAAGAAAAAAACAATTGTCATTCAATTAATACGGAGAAACAAAGACTAGAATGGCATTTAATTATTTAGAGGGGCTTAAATAATAAGCGTCTATAAAATCATGACAAACTGTGTACTCTTCTCTTAAAAAAAATATTACCTTATAATTTTCTTTTTTTAAAAAAAAAATCTCACCTTGTATTTGACTGCATTAAATATTTATCTTTACATTTCAAATTCTTATTGAATTCACACACACACACACACACACACACACATATATATATATATATATATATCAGTTAAAGGTTTATTTTGACTATAGAAAAAAAATCTAAATACCCTTCACGTTGTTCAATTTTTAGTTTCCTTTTTTTTTTTTCCCTCATTCTCATTCTTATTTTCTTTAAGAGTGTTTAGGGTTTAGCTGGGCATAAATATGTAATAAAAAATAACCTTAAAATGCAGGGCATAAATTATATAATAAAAAAATAAAGAGAAGTAATTGCAATTCAGTACCCATTTACACATCAAACTATTTATTGATAATCACCAACACAACATCTCCAGAAACCAGCGAACCGTTATTCACTTACATGTGATGTACTAAGGGCAACAAGTAATGTTCTCTTAAAGCAAAGCAATCTAATGCTCAGCAGAATCTAGTTTCATGGCATCAATATAAGCTTTTCCATCAAGTTTACGTCCAAATAAACCCTTAAAATATTCTTGACATTCCAACGTTCTGTACAATGCCGGAGTTTCCTCTGTGATCAAGCTGTTCACCGGACCAATTTGAGCATCTACATTTGGATTGTAGAACGTAGCAATGGAGAGTCTTTCTTTTTCTGTGTCTACAGTTGCTCGATGCTCAATGCTACGATATATGCCATTGGTTACAATCTGCAATATGAAATATATACTTAGTAATAGATATAAACTGTATTTTTTTTATTACATGATCTGGTAAATTTTATCTCCAAACTGATAAAAGAGGTAAAAACTGGGATTCGAGGCATTGTAGCTCGTCCATATATGTGTGTATATATGTGTGTATAAAAACATTAGTACATATATATTTGTGTGTGTTTATATATATATACCTTTTTTAGGAATATATATATATATATATATACCTATTACGAAACGCTAATTAGTATGAGTCTAAGCTAAATTACATTTTTAAGGTTGAATTTTCTTAAGAGGTATCAATTCTACTATTTATTTATTTTTTAAAAAACGTACTTAGCTCATGTTATAAAATGTGTCATTTGGTTAATAAGAAATAAAGTATACTAGTAAGTAGAATCGAACTGATAACAAAGTAATTATATAAAACGCCTACTATGAAGAGCATCCATCTAAAAATATCTACTGTTATACAATACTACAGAAATATCCACTTGCGCTTAATAAGGAATATATTATACCACATTTGCCGTTATAGTTTATTTTGAGCATGTTTCATGTATGGTATGTTTTTCATAGTAATATAAGAATATTTTTTCTGATTATTTTAAGAATTTGACTTTCCTTTTGACCTCATTTAATATTTTGTTATTAATTAAATTGATTTATTCTTGATATGCTTTGTTAAATTAGGATTTTCCCTCCCCCTTGTTTTGAAAAAAACAGAAAAAAAAACGCTGCATTTTGTCCGCTGGCATCTGGTCTACTTGCCTTAGTCGCCTAGAACACCCGCTTTCCTTTCTCTCTCCGCTAAACATGTTGTCTCGCAGATCTGTGACATGGGTTCTACTGTTGATGGTAGAGAGAGAGAGAGAGAGAGAGATGTCTCGCAAATCTGTGACATGGGTTCTAGTGTTGATGGTAGAGAGAGAGTCCCCTAAACATGTTGCCTCGCAAAATTGTGATATGGGTTCTTGTGTTGATGGTAGAGAGAGAGAGAGAGAGAGAGAGACTCTCGTGTGGGATAAAAGTTTTAATAAGAGAGAAAGATAGAGAGAGAAACTCCCGTGTGGGATAAAAGTTTTAATAATACTATGTTGTTTAAAGTTTGGAAACCCAAACAAAAATCAATCCTTCATAAATCCCTAAAAATCTTGCCAGTCTAAAGCCTAACAATTGATAATTTTATAGCCTTAACTAGTTAGAGGAGAAAAAGGATATAAAAAAATAAAAAACGAAAAATTAAAAGGTGAGAGTGGGAAAAAAAAGTATTACAAGAAATCCAACATTTATTGCACTATTATTTCACTTCGAATTGTGATTTTATCCTATACCCACACTGAAATAAATTCACCACTACTTTCGATTAATCACGTGTCTGATTTGTTAAGTTTGTTGTCTTATCTATAGGCAGCTAATGGATAGATTAGGCTATTATTATTATTATTTTAAGGGAATGAGCTCAATTGCTTAAAGGAATCTCTTCTACCTATTGAGTGTGTAGTTGTACAAGAGTAACAAGATAATTTACGCTAGATTTGATTGATGGATTCAGAATTATTTTTAATTTACATGTATATTTTGTGAGAAAAAATACTGTAGCGAACCACGAATCATGACACGAATCCTTGAATTAAACGCAACATTAGTTTAATGATAACTGGTTTTTCATTCTTAAAAAAAAATTGTTAACATGTTTAAAATACTTTAATGAAATTTATATTCTAAAAATAAGAAGGTGTGCCTACTTTGAGTTCCCAAAAAAAAAAAAAAAAAAAAAGATGATAATTAATTACCTCCACGATGTCCCCAATG